GAGCCCAATGGCATACAGTAAACACTATACCCGGGCTGCACACCAGGAGTCACATGCAGTGGAGTGGCCCCCTAGGGATTCTCCTCCACTGTTCCAGCTGCATTGCTAGCACATAGCCCTCCCACCTCCCGCCGCATGGGCTATACAGACGGCAGGTGGGTCCCCAGACCCTTATCACTTAATAGTGGGTGCTGGTCTGTGGGCCACATGTTAAGCACTTGTAGGTCGTGTGTAAGCCATAGGCCACATGCTGGCTCCTCGCATCCTGCCAGCTTTACAGGAAGGAAAATCTCCGCTACATCCTTTTTCTTCCAGTACCATTTCAAGAAGGAATCCTTTTCCCAGTATGTTTGGGTGTGGGAAGGAAGAACCTTCCTTCCCAAACATTATCAAAGGCAAAGGATTTCTAAAAATTTAGAAAATAAATTTAAGCATGGGCCAAGAAGGATTGAAATCTGCAATATTTAGCTGCTGTTGCCAGCATGCCAAACCTGACTGGTATAGACTGGTTGATATAATCAAGTGTCAGCCCCCTAACAAGCCTACCTAACGATAAAAAGCCTACATAACATTAATGATAGCTAGCTTATGTTATGGGCAAATTAATTCAGACTGTGAGTTATCATTTAATAAAGAAGGATACTTTGGTCAGTAAGGTTCTTCTTGACACAAAAACCATCATATCTTTTAGGGATCCCATGCTCTTATGTACTAAGGTGGCATTATCAAATTTAATGCTTCACTGCAATTGGTGATCAGGAAGGATGTCAACCAGACACAGCATTGCTCTGTTGGCCACGTGATTAATGATCATCACTATGTGCATTTCTTCTTCATCTTCCTCTGAACCATTATGTATTGTTCACTGCCTGAAGCAATATTTTTAATGGGCAATGATATTCAGCTGGGTGCATGCTGATAACATACCTTGCATCATTATGTTTCCTTCTGTACACTGGAAAACATGGACTAAGAAAGTCAATACATACCAATAAAATAACACTGAATGGCAAAATGGGAAAATATCGGCCCTTTACAACTCCAGCAACAAAAATGTCCTGGATTCTCATTTTTGAAAGTCAGAAAAAGTAGTATTATTCATGCCTTATTCTCAGTTCTGGTGTGGTACTCAGTTTGCAGTCACATTGATATGCTGGGAGGAGCAAAAAGACCTTGCAGAATTCCAGTCGCACTTGTAAAGATCCAGAGGCAAATCATGCTTTTGTCTCTAGTTGCTTTGCCTCTGTTATCTTTATCTCCTTACCAGTGACAAGCTCTTTCACCTCTGAATGTCAAAGCAGGTAGAGGGTCCTTGTTACTTTGCTTGCATGCAGACTTCCCAGATGCTGCATGAGATTTACTGATCTGCCACATCTGATGTGGAAGTGACAGGGTGTCTTTTGTCTTCATCTCGCCTCATTGAAAAATAATCAAGTGAATCATAGAGAACAGAAATAGCCTGGAAAACCAAAAAAAAAAATTCAGTTACAGAAACTTACATTATTGAAGTGTATTTAAAATGAACAGTTATGTAACATATGCCAGCTAGAACAGAAACTCAGAGAACAGAGGAGAAAACTATGTCCATCTTAAAGATCACAGAGTCTTAATCGTATAAATATGCCCAAGACTCAATAAATCCAAGATAAAAAAAGGCTTCTGATGTCTGGATGTACTTGGATGCAGGGGTTTGGTCTTTTCCCTTACAAAGATAGGACCAGCTTCTAAGTGCTGGATCTGTGTTCAACAGTGTTTACAGTGCTTCAGAGCCAAAATCCTTTTCTATTTAAAATGACCTTTTGAATTTAAATAGCAGATTTCTTCCACATCGATTGTTCAAGCCTTTCAAAACCCCTCATATATGCATGGGTTTTTTCTTTTTTACAACCCTAATGCTGTTTCCTGAATGTGCCAATTTTCATATAATCAAACTAGTATTTAATTAATGAGTTATAAAGATAACAGAGGAAGCTAGGGCAAGGTGTGTTATCTTAGAGACTGACTAGTTCAGAGAGGCATGGCCTTCTGCAAGTAACAACCTACTTCACTAGTATCTGATAAAGTAAGTTGCTGCTTGCAAAAGTTCATACTTTTCTGAACCAGTTAGTGACTAAGGTGCCACCTTACCCACCGTCTGCCTAACTTCAGCCTGAAAAACACCAGTATGGTATCTATCTTGGTGCTATTCTAGACTCTGCAAAAAGATCCCATTTTCATTTCACAGGTATTTGCAGATAAAGTCCATAGAAAATTTTGTTGCGCAATTCACTTAAAGGGTAGAAGACCTAAAGACTTTTCTCAAAACATGCACAAACTTATACAAGGGTACATCTATACAAGCATGCTCCCTCCTTGAGGCAGTTTCTAAAAAAGTCATCTTAATAAA